GGATAGAAGGAACATGCATATCAACTTTTTCCCCCTTGGTTAATATTGTAAATATAATCTTCAAATTCAAGTCATTGACCTTGAAGGCGCCAGAATTCTCAACAACCTTGAAATTCTTCAAAACATACAGATTTCTTTCTTTCAACAAATGGTTAAACTTATTGACCAAGATCTTCCTTACTATTGATGTCATGAGAGAACCCTACAAAACAATACATAGGAAAACAAACAACTTAACCAAAACATACTTTGCTAATACATGGTATTAACAATAAGAATATATAACACACATTTTCATTAATTAAAACCAGGTTCAAACTAATTAATTCCCTATTTCTCTTTGTATTCAAAGATTCCCACAACCTACATATCCTAATTTTCATAGCCCAACTTTCATTATCTAACACCAAGTTTTGTAATCCAACAAATTCCATATGTAGAAAGATTTGTAAATAAAAACTTATGGTATAGAAAGTAGTATGAGTAATTAACAAAGTAATAAGAAATAATATAATCATGTGTATAAATAGTATAAACAACTATTAATTTATCACTAATACAAATTCATAAGTTATTTAAATGTCATTTAAAAGTTTGAATTAAGGATGTAAATGTTACAAATTCATTTCATTAACTAAAATGTAGAAACATTGATTGAGACAATAACACTAACCATAAATGACATTAAAAGCAATTTAAAAGTTTAAATTAATGACGTGAATGCTATTATTGTCATAAACATCACTTTCCAAATAATAATATGACCATAGATAATGAATGGAAGTACAAAGTATAACAAAGATGATTCACTTGTAATGAAATTGCATGCAATGAAATTAGGTAGCACATGAATGATATGTCATGTAGTTTAGCGAGTAAACATTATAATATTTCATAAAATTGATATTATATATCTTGCTTTGATTAAGGTAGTTTAATTTTAATCTTTTTGTACCCATGATTAGTAACAAAGTATAAAAGAATTAAAGAACCCTCTTGATATGGCAGCAGCTCACTGGACAATATCTTAGCAATTCTCAAATACCAAAAGATTACTACAAACTACCCAAAATGGATTTGGCATATTAAATTTAGATGATAGTTATCTTATAGACAACTTGTAATTGTATTTTTTAATATTAATGGAATTAATACTCAATTTGTTCACCACATCTAATCCTACCAGTGTTGCCACAATGGAATCCTGACAGGTTCAATCTTAGTACACTATTTCTTACTCATAATTAGATTTTATTCGTCATTAATGCCACCAGTTAGAAGTGGATAATTGGATAAACAACCAAGTGGTCTGGCTATCCCTGTATAGTTCACATTAGTGGTTACTTTCCTTGACCCAACCTTCTTAGTAGACATTAGCATAATAATTTTAAAAAAAATTCCTTTTATGTTACACATTAGCAAGCTCAAAATCTTTGTCTATATGTGTGGTTATCAATTTATTTCTTCAGTATTTGATAATGCTACCTGTTAGATCTAAATATAGTAAATTAACTAATAACAAACTTTTATTTTGGTTTTGTATAACCCTGGTTCCTCGTTATTTTGCACATGTCATGAGCTTATCCAGCTTATTGTTTTATATTGCTTGTTTTGCTACTAACCAAACATCAAAATAAGAAAAATAATAGGAGGTCACCAGGAATTTTAGTATTGAGTTATTGTTACCATTTAATTATGTCAAAGATTTGTTTTTTTGAACTTGAAGATAGCCAACCTCGAGGAGAAGCATGGAAAAAAAAGGCTCGAATGGTATGATCCCTCCGTCTAGCCCCCTTACGAAACTTTCGTTATTGGGTCCTTCAACCCTTTGAGCGAAATGTAGCCTGATGTTGTAAATTAGTGTTCCATTATAGTGTTAAGTTTTGGAGAAAAGTATAGTTTCATTGATGAGGGAATACAGTGTGTTATGTGAGGCATTTTTTTGAATGACATGAAGTACTCATGTGCCATGTAAACTTTTTATTTTATAAACATCACTTCACGATTGTGAAACTTTCATAGTTTTATAAGTTAATCTCGTTTTCTTAGTTTTAATTACAAAAACAGAAATATCAATGAGGGGTTGCAACCTATGAAAATGTGCAGCCTAGTGTAGAATAGTAAGAGCTTTGTATGCCATACTCATATCAAGGTAAAACACAAAAATGTTAAGAGGGGCATCCACAAAAGTAATATTGTTAGACCCCATAACTTTTAAATGTAAAAGTATTGTAAAATGTTCTAAGTGTTGAAGACTAGAGACCAGATGAAGATAATCCAGATATGGGCTATGAAGAACTAGAGATTCCTAACCTCATGATTACCCACTGACGAAAAGTCCCTCTGGTCGATGAACTGAGCCTATCTGGAACCCCTCTAGTCTTCAGATGCTGATAGAATGCTCAAGTCATCAGCTTATGTCTAGTCAGCTCAAGCCTAACAAACTGACACATGGAGGTTATTGATTGGACATGCCACTTAGAGGCAGTTATGCAACTTTACACAAGGCAGGATGTGATTCATCATTGCCTTGACTTTGCAACTCTGGGAGGTTATAAATAGTTGTTGTACTTCATTCTATTAGATCCCACTTTCACATTCACTTTAACATAAGCTATATTGCTATTGTGTGTAACTCTCATTTGCACTTGTAATCAAGCTTCTCCTACAATATCAATGAAGATGATGATATCTTCCCAAATATTCTTGTATATGCATTAAGATGTTCATGTGTTCGTCATAACCTATCAGGATAGATCATCTTCTTCAGCACCGTATTTCTAAAATTTATCCATAGATTGAGAGATCTGGGATCCAATAATTGGTATTAGAGTAGATTGATCGTTCTTCAATAAAAACAATCAAATCTGAATCTGAAATTCAAATTTTCTCATCTATTTTGGGTTTATTCTTCAAATTCTTATCCATCCCTGCTTTTACAGTTTTCTCCACATATAGAGATATAAAATCTTGTGATTAATTGGTGTTCTTCATTTTTGAATTTAGAAGAATTTGGTATTGTAATCTCTAATCTCATAACAATGGCTAACTGGAATGTTGCATGTAGTGTATCTCACCAAACCTCTAACTCTTCAACGTGAAGAGTATCCACAATGGAAGGTCTGAATCATCAACTTCTTCAATGGAATGAATATGAACTTGTACCGATTTATCATCAACGGTCCTCATATTCCTCAAACCATGATTCCAAAAGTTTTCGCAACTCCCACCACTGATAAAATTCCAGCTTACTTCGTCCGCAAGGATGAAAAGTCATGGAACGATGAAGACAAGGAAAAAGTGGAGGTTGATATAAAAGCGAAGAGACTTCTTATTATGGCGATTCCTAACAAAAATTTCCAATCTCTTGATTCATGTAAAAGGCTAAAGAGATTTGGGACAAACTCGCAATTCCACTTGAAGGAGGGGTAAAGACAAGGAAAAACCGAAGGGTTCAATGTCTAAATGAGTATACAAACTTCAAAGCTCTTCCCGAATAACCAATCCAGAAAACGTATGATAGGTTCAATACCTTGATCAAAAAATGCCTTAGAAATGTAATCAAGAGGACTAAGGAAGAAAATAATGTACTATTTCTTAAAAGCCTTGGTGATGAATGGACTCAATTATCCATGTCTCTACAGGCTAATCAGGATCTGGAGAGTTGCACATTGCACGATGTATAAGGAACTCTGACTGCTCAAGATCAGGATATCATGAAGAAAAAGGTGTCTCTTGGTGGTCTTTTGGCCCAAGTCTCTTAAGAGAAGGAGACTGCCAGAAGCTTGTCAAGAGATCACTACAAGAAGAAGGGTAAAAAGGCCTTAATAATGACTTAGGTCTGAAGATGAAAGCTTAGATACTGATGATGAGTTG